GATGAGCCTGGAAGATGAGCCTGGAAGATGAGCCTAGAAGATGAGCCTGGAAGATGAGCCTGGAAGATGAGCCTGGAAGATGAGCCTGGAAGATGAGCCTGGAAGATGAGCCTGGAAGATGAGCCTGGAAGATGAGCCTGGAAGATGAGCCTGGAAGATGAGGGCCTTATTGTTTTCAAAAGCTGTTTGCAAACTATGGCCCAAAACCAAATGAATTCCCACAGTGGATAAATTCTTCAGTCAAAATTCTTGAAAGGAAATTAAATTCATTCTCTTTACATGCAATTTCAGGCGAACACAATGCCATTACTGCAGTATTTCGCATATCATCTCAAAGTATTAATTTTCATGCTTTCAGTTGGTTGAAACTTTGTCAAATATATTTACATGTTGTACACACTGTATTTTTTGTCTAGAAATTTGACCCTGCATATTAATACATATCTACTGCTGTTTAGATCAATGCTGTTAGAAATAAACTCTTCTATTGACTAGACAGTGAGATTATTTCAAATCAACATGCTGTATCTAATTATAAAAAAATGTAATGCTAGCAGAAGCTTTCTGCAGGGTTTTGTTATCGTTATTAATTTCTTGGGTCAAACATTTATTTTGTCTGTAAATAGCAACTCCAGTATTTATATGTTAACACAAGCATACACAGAATAAAAACAACCATTTTTATATCTATGTGACGAGAATTGTCATTGATTTGAAATTATTACAAACAAGACTGAGTTGTCTGTCCACAAACATAGTTACAGCACAGATAACTTTCATTAGAAATGATTTTTACACATTGTATTAAAACAAGTTTCCTTTAAAATAAATAAATCTTTTCAGTTAATTCTTTCAATTGATGACAATTGAATTTGTCACTTTAAAAAAAGGAAGCATCTCAAAGAAAGACATTCAAGCTGTCATTCATTCCTCTCTCTTTTCTCTTATCTTCCCAATACCATTCGAATTACCTGTGGGTGGAGGAGTTGTGCTGACCACAAGAATGCCCCTTTAAACCAGTGTCAGCTCTCCTGATAGGCTACTACTTGCACATTACATCATGGAACTGTTTGATATGTACACTAACTTTAATTATCCATCAAGGAAGGCAGTTGGGGGTGTAAGAAAATCACATTTGTTTCTGTGCCAACATGAGCAATACTGACACAACTGAAACACGGCAGACATGTTTTCCTTCTAATGCTGATATTGTATCTCTGTGAGAAGCAAAACCAAGACTGATCCAAAGAGACCCTTTTGAAATGATTACGTTCTGGCATTGATCAGGTTATTGCAATGACATTTTCTTCTATTTGTATAGGTTTTGTGACCATGACCTTACCGCCAGAAATCAACAGCCTTTTGCATGTCCAGGGGGACTCTAGAATCCAACCATGAACCAAGTTTCACCCAAATCAAAAAAGTTCTGGGACACTTACGCCTGTCCAGGGAACCAATTGAACTGCCCCATATGTAAAATATTTCTCTGCCACTCCGTGCTGAGATAATTTCACAATAACCAGCCCCAGGTGCAGGACATTTAAGACAAGATTTACTGTACATAACTGTATGATACTTGTCACTGTAACACATCATCATTTAAAATACTCCGAGGTGCAGCAATGAAGAGAAATCTACAATAACTGGTCTACAATGGCTATGTTCATCTCATACTCCACCTTGTGTGTGTGTATAAAGCAAAATGATGAACATGGCAATTTGATCACTGATCCCAGTGCTATTACTCTACATTGCCAGATCGTGTACACAGGTCTCTGAAACTCACTGATAATTGTAGCCAGTTGATTCTTCAGCATTAAGTGGGTGTGTTAACATGGATGGCTGAACACAAATTAGAGAAGTACATCCTTTTAATGGAATTCACTGGTGGGGATATTTCAAGGTTTTGCCACATAGCCACTTGCAGACAACCTCTATAATCTCCTGAAGGCTTGGAGTACCTGGCTCTGCATTGTCATACCAACCTCCGATTCCAGCCGTTCTAGCTCCATCATGCAAGCTTCTCTCCTTGCTCTGATCTGATTAAGTATTGCCTCCTTCTCCTTGATGTAGGCACGAAGGCCAAACTGTCAAGAAGACAATCATTGTTGACTTTTGCCAATTGCTGGACTTGGAAGATTAACCACTTGCTGCTGGGCCACCCCATTTCGAGCACCGTGGGTGTATACAAAATGGGACAAGAGTTGGTCCGTGTAACAAAAGACTGACTCGGAACAAAAGACCTGCTGCTTGGAATTGCCATCATTTTTCGGCTGGCATTTTTCGAAGGTAATCCTTCACTGTTTTTAAACAGTATACCACTGTTTTAGGCATAGCGCACCCGCAGATTAGCACTGCGGTCAAAAGTGCTCCAGGGCCCCATTGATGAATGACACAGAAAAGATGCCACTCGCATTCACTGGGGACAAAGGAAATTATGCAACACCTCAAAAATTCTGGGCTCTCGTTACTGGGTGGCAGACCTAACTAAAATACTCAGGAGTCAATGAAGGTTACCTGCCAGCTTAGAGTAGCCACCAAGCAGTCAGTCGTGTGGGTGTAAACACCCATTAAATGAAATGATGAATTTTTGAAAAATTAGGAAAGGGAAAATCTTGAAAATCTCTCGTATGTGTGCACTGCATTTTTAAAAGCACCTAGCAGCAAGTGGTTAAAGTCATAATGTGGAAGATCTAGAGACTTAATTGGTTGATGAAAAAAAGTATTCAACACATAGGTATTAGCATAAACAGTGCCTACAAACAAAGTAGACATTCCATTATTAACCTATTCCATTATTAACCTGTATTTGAACATGTGCAAATAGTATTATTCCACAATGAATTTGTCCTGGGTGCAGTGTTATCTTCTGCTAAAAATACCAACCTTGTTAAGCGACAAGATAACACAACCAGAGTCTTTGGTAAAGTTCAATTTTTACAATGCTGACCTTTGATGCTGTTTGTACAAAATTTATGCAACATTTCTCAATGCGTTGTCGCTTTTTTGAAATTCAAAAGACTTTGTCGTGGAGCAATATTCTCTAAAATGTCACCCAAAGTCATCTGAGAGCTCCACACATGCTCAACCTTTACAGACTTCTTGGTTGATGAAAACATTGGTAAGCTCTCACAGCGTATTCATCAAACCTCTTAATCAAAACAAACCATGAAATTGATCTAAATAGAGAGCAGGGAAAAACAACTGTAGTTTTATTGTCACTGAATTTGAATAACAAAAACTGCCTCAGTAAGGGCATATAATAAATATATTGTACACCCTCAATGAGGCAATTTTTATAAGACATGCTCTCTTCAGAAAGTGTTATTTGCTTGGAATCCCTGATAATGATTCAGGTTGTATCATTTGTATTGTCCAATGCATGTTTTAACTGGGAAACACATGATTTCGTGTAGCTTAACCACATGCTGCTGGGTGGTTTGAAAATTGCAGTGCACGCATACGGGTGAATTTCAAGATTTTCAGTTTCCAAAAATCTTCACAAATTCATCATTTCAATTAATGGGCATTTACACCCACATGAATTACTGCCTGGTGGCCACTCTAGCCTGACAGACAAAATCTATTGACGCCCGGCCCAAGCATTTCAGCCAGGCCTGTAGTCTTGTAAAAAGAGCCCAGGTTGTGCAGTGTTATATAACTTTCTTTTGTTCACGAACCTGGCACAGTGGGCTGCTGACCTCTTTTCAATAGGGGCCAGATTAGCATGCAGCGGTACTGAGTGGCTCATCGCTGTGGTGGTGGAGCGCTTTTGTCCCTGGTTGTAATCTGCTCACTCTGAATGCCTCAAACCGTGGTATACTGTTTCCAAACAAGGCTGGATTATCTCCACTATTGAGAGTGAAAAAATGTTGGTAATGCCCAGCAGCTCAATCTTTTGTGCCGAGCACGATCTTTTGTTACAAGGCCCAGCTCTTTTGTCCCGGTTTCGGGCTCCCGGCTTCGTGTATAAAGCCTATGTGCTGGAAAACGGGTCCCCAGCAGCAAGTGGTTAAGGGGGGAAAGCTGGATAAGAGAAGTAGTTCACTCTCAAGACACTTACCAAATCTGGCTGTTCTTCTGGTTTGTCCTTTTGAAAATGGCTCTCAATTCTGTGAATGGTGAGAATTTCAACATTACCAAATCCCATCTACTAGCTGAAACCGTTACACGCAAAAAATTGAACTATCAAATTGATTTCAAAGAATATGGTTTAAAGGAAATCATGTTCAAGTTCTAAAGGAAACAAAATCAACAATGAACAGAAACCAGTTAAACATAAATGAAATTAGCATTCTTGAAGCAAAGCCTTTTAAAAGGCTCTTTAGTAGATCATTTGAAGTTCTTAATCCAAGAAAATGACTGAATGATTATCACCCATTTTCCTGTGCTTGTCAAACAATGCCATTCTATAACTTCTAGAACTTACTGGTAACACTTGACAAGGGTGTCTTTGACTGTCCACTGAAGCTTGCTGATATCAGCTTGATATTGCACCATGACGTTACTGCTGTCTGCATTGCCGATTCCTGGAGAACAGAAAAGAAGAAACGTGTAACTTTCATTGCTCCTTGAAACCTGTTGAAACTTAAAATGAGATAACAAATTCAGAAAGTAAGAAGCAGTTCTTCTTGGCTTGGCTAAGCCTGAACTCCAAACTCAGTTTTGCCAGAAACCGATAAAAGCCACAAATATACTGTACTCCTATGGCACACATTTCATACTTTAGTACTGAAAAAATCATAAAATACCGTTTAAAAAAGGCCATTTCTCTCACCATGTAGTAGATTCTCCAAATCTTCAATTTCTTTCCTGATAATTTCTTCTGTTCTATTTACTGAGTACTTCCTAGTAATAAACCAAGGAAGACAGACATTTTTGTATTACATGAAATATTAATAGGTCCAAAATGATAATTTATACAAACAAAATATGGGGTAATATCTGTTACAAAGTTGATTTTTAAGGTGCATTCAGGAAAGTGGGATCTTCCTGCCTTCATAATTTGCATCAGATTTATAAAAGACATCCATCTTTTAAGTATGTTTTGATATATACAAAACCTGTTGACAAATCTGACTTTTTTTTTTCATGTTCTAAAAGTTCTAAAAGGGGTAGGGCCAAGGATAGGGGTGCAGTCACTTGGGGAAGGTTGACTTACTCTTCATCATATAACAAGCTACCATCAGCAGCATAGATACCCCGCCTTGTTCGTGTCTGGCTCCTTGACTCATATGTTGGTTCTGGTGGAATGTGCTTCTCCTTTAATATTGGAAACACGCATGGTGAGCACTCTGTCACAGTTCATTTAAGTCACTGGTGTCACTGCAACATGCTTTATGTTTGCTTCAACAGCAAGAATGTTTGTGACCTGTCACCATCAAAGGAGCTTAAGGTCAGACTTTGAAGAACTGAGACATGTTCTTTTCTGGATTATGCAGGAAAAGAGCTTTCCAATTTGAAGGTTGGGGTACTGGAGTTCTGCACAGGAAACGTATCAATTTCACACGGAAGTTGTAAAAAGTAGTTTTTGAGAAAATGGCATTTAAAAATGCCCTGTTGTTGAAGTGACAGAAGCATCACCTAGTGAAATAAGATCATCAGTTTTAATAAGGAAAAACAGGGAAAAAAAACGGACAACTAATAGAATGACGTTCATCTGGAACCAAACAACTGACTACCTCTTGAAAATCTGGCTTTGTCACACTGTAGACTGTGCACTGTGTAATGGTAAGGTTCAACTTTGAGCTTATTCTATTGTGACAGGTCACATGTCTGTACTGGAAATGTGGAGTAGAAATAAAGTTGACCTCTAGACTTCACATTAGTTATCAACCACAAGATGTGCCCTGTGAAAAAGCCACAGACAGGAACTTGTCAAATCACAGAATGACTTAAGTGTCCAATAGGAAATCCAGTTTGTTCCAGTCGGGAATGCTTGCAAAGTTGGGAACAGAGAAACCCAGCTGGAAACACATCATTTCAAGCCATGTCCCAATGACATGACTACCGCTGATAATAATGCATGCATCAAACGGAAGCCAATAACTGATGGCTTCATCCATCTCCTATTGACACATGTGCTACAGCCAGCCACAGCCATTGAGTTGGACAGAGCCTTTTTCTCATCAGAACTAGACCATCTCCAAATATATTCTTAAAAAGACCAGAGCATTTCTAATTTTGTAACACTGTCTAACTCATCTAACTGTGTCAATCTGTGTTGTGATACAAACTGGAAATAGGAATGACTTACCACGTTATAATGGAACAATTTCTTTGGATCCTGGGGGGAAATCAGATCACCAATTACAATCATTAAACCTCAAAGAAATTAACCTTTTAAACTGGAGATGTGATTATAGTTATTTAATTCCCACAAAAGAAGCTACATTTTTCAGACATTACTTCTGAATCAAAATTAAAAATAAATCCATTGATGTAACAAATATTCCGAATTGGCAAAAGGTCTCTACGATAAACAAGAACAACATCCAATATATTGAGGCAAAAAGAGAGACTTACAAAGGGTTTTGGAGGAGGTGGGATGACTGTATGGGGCAAGACATCCTCTGAATGCTGGATGGGAGGCACAATAGGTAAATCATCAAGTTGTTGGCAGAGGGATGGAAGAAAGATGAGACAAGAAGATGCGTCTACACCACACCTGTCAGATGTAAATGCCAGAAGATCAGGTCAATCTAATGGTCAACTTGTAGGTTTCTTGCAAAGACCCAGGAAAGTTTCATGAAATTATGGTACACCAACAAAAATACACATAGTAATAATTATGGCACCTTCTTTGGTTGAATCCAACTGATTCAACTAATCCAACACATGTAATCTGTAGGGGCCCATTTATAAAGACAAACATTTATGGAAGGCATATCAGGAAATCAACATGGCTTGAGAAATTTTACAAGGTGGATGTCTTAGTACATAAATTACTGACTTTGCACAGTAACAATTGCACCTTACTAAATCATCTTTCCTGAACCCAGGAAGTAACTCTCTTTGAACTACTCAAAATGAAGCAGGGTTCAAGTTTAATGTATTGCAGTGTGGAAGTTAGGGATCAAATAATCTCATGAAAGTCTTTTACCAGTCCACAGGAACATCTTCTGTAAGCCAAGGCCTGAGTTGGGCAATGCCTTCAGGAATTGTTCGTTCAGTCTTTTCGGGTTTGTCTTTCCTTCTTTCTTTCCATCGTTTGATTTCTACATCTTCAGATTCACACACAGCTTTTTTGGTATTTTCAGCACCTTGTTTTCCACTTGAGTCTGGTATAGATCTCTGCTGATTAGTTTCCAATGTGAGAAACTGTTTTGGGACAGGTCTGTTACCGATGGCAGAACCTGGCCTGTGCCGGTTACCCCTCTCCCGCTGGGGTACATGGGCAGAATTTGGCCTCTGACGATCCAGGACTCCGCCTTTAGGGAGAATGGCGTCATCTTTCACATTGCTGGAGGAAGAGGACGGAACAAGACGAGCCTTGGCACTTTGAATCTTCCGGACATGAGGACTTACAGCTCGAGGGGGTTTCTTGTGGCTAGGTGGGGTAGGTTCAAAGAGTAGCTGTGCTGTACCCAGGCCAGCTGCATGTGTTAACGGTGCTGATGATGCCTGGTGTTTGCAAGGGCATTTCTCTTGTTGACCTACTTGCTTACCCAATGGAGGTCTTTGTAGCAAGGAAACTAGAAGCGAATAAAGGTTAAAAATGCAGAAAAAATAAACCTTTCAAACTCTGGGTCATGCAGATCAACCTGTCTCACCCAGCATCTCTGTTGGGCATTATCTTACCATATGCACACTTACACCAATCGCCTTCTCTTTCTAATTCAAAGTTGTGGAAGATTTGTCCAAAACAGGGAAGTAAAGCTGTAGATTTTATGGAGAATTGATCAATTGGTGAGAAGGATTACAGTTGGGTGATCATGCAAATCTGTCAATGGTACCCAAAATCTCTACTATAGATCAGCAAGCACATACCTCACAGTTATCACTTATGCTCATAAAGCAGAGCACTGACTTGCTGTACAAATTTGCTGTGCACAAACCTATGGAAAACTTGACATTTTGTACAGATTTTATATGGCTATTTGCATATCTGCATCTGGGAAAAATTTCCATATACGGATGCTGCTTGACACCCTATGTACAAGCCTTATGAGACTGGTCTGAAAATCTTAAATGTTTTTACAAGAACACCTAAATATTTTTCCTGCTAAATTTTCTTTTTAGGTCATGTCATTGCTTCCAGATCATAATAGGTAACTGTAAGGAAAATCAGTGGCATGTATAGAATTCTTTCCCTGCATCTACATGTACATTGTAAAACGATGCGTCAACAAACTTCGAAGCTGATGCGCCAAAGAAAGCACAATCAGTAAATGAACGTAAACAATGCAACGTGTGTGTACATTGTATATGCGTCAGATACTTTTTATAATGAATGACAGAAAACAGGCTATGCCTAGGCCCAGGTCTATTGTTATTGGCAAATGTTGTTCTTGCACTTTGCAACTTCCAGATTGCACAATTCAGAATTTGTTCCATCACAGGCTATTTTTACTATCTACAAAAGTGCAAATGATTTCAAGAGACATCAAAGCTTCCCTGAGAGGAGAGCAATGAGTGAGCACTTGAGTCATGTAATACTTGGGTCTGTGTTTAATATGAAAGGATGCAACTTTCTGCGATATTTGAGGACTAACTCTGTCAGTCTGTGACCTTTCGCAGTGACTTTTGGCAGTGAAAAATCTTTCAGCCTACATTACGACAAGTAATGGTCGTAAAAAGATATTCCCAAATTCCATTTTGAGGAATTGTGTAAGGGTGTGAACTGCATGAACTTACTTAATTTAGTAGAGCCTACTTGGACAAGTTAGAGAAGCTTGAGAAATATAGCATTACATAGAAATTTGTCATCAACAGCTGGGCCAGCCCAACTGCAGCACTAAAGTTGGGACTGCCCCAACTATAGTTGGGCTAGACGCTGTAGGCTAGTTGGGGTATAACAGAAAACAGGCATGACATGACAGTACAGGCCTCACAAACCTGACAAATGCCATGCAGCATATGCAGTGTGTCCGGAAACTGGGCACACAATATACTCCCTGCAAAAAGCTTTTTTCTTTGACAAAAATACACTTTTGTTTCATTGATACGGTTATTAATATACACTGTAAAATAATACCATTACTTCCGGCATCCTGTTTGATACCTTCGACTGCTTTCACCACAACATCCGTTGCTGTAGACGCCATGACATCGTTGCTTAGGCGGCCATGTTTTATCAAAATCCACCGCCTTTGGCAATGATATTAAATAATAAGAAATTTAAGATTGAAGAAAGATTGATGTAAGACCATTATAGAATATTTAAAAAGTAAATAAAATTATTTTAATGAAAACAGTAATTTCTGTGTTTTACAAAATTAAGTTGACAAAAGCAGTTCTTTTTTAAAAGGTTCATGAGTAAATGATCTCATCAAAGATGGCAGCCTGCATGACTTGAAGTTTCATCTATCCGGTTCCTGAATTAACGAGAGAAAACCTGTAGTTTTGTCTGCGTTCGAAAAAGTATCGAGATGCCGAATGAAATCGTACGTCATTTGCTTCTCATTAATGATTTTTGCCACCAGTATTGATATAAATGATTTGGATTTAGAGTTCATAGGCTATTTAATGTTGTACTTGTAGGCTGGTAGTAGGCCAGGCGCCTATTTACTATTTTATCCATATTGATTGTGCGTATCATATAATAATTTTCGTAGCTGTTGTTACGGCAGCCGTAACGCATCTCCCATTTCCAATCATTACGGCACTGCAACTGTGCAAGCACGCTAACTTAAGTGCAGATTTCAGAATTTATTTCCCTTTAAAAAATATCCTCCAAAGCCTCCAATGAGAAAAGAAAAAAGATTCCTGCTAAGGCCTATAGGCTACAATTAGAAACCAACAAAAAAAACAATTATGGTATAAAACATGAAATTTAGGCAAAAAAAATTAAATAGTCCAAGCGTAGATTCAAACTCGCACACCAGTGCTTCCAAACCTTCCACCTTGACCGCTCGGCCACAAGCATTCAGTGATCATGGTAGTTTAAAATATATAAACCGTCGTGATGATCAGCTACGTTATCACACTTGCGCAGTTCATTGCCGTAACGATACAAAATGGGAGATGCTTTACGGCTGACATAACGATAACCACTTCGCATAATAATTTGTTCTGATCGTTGTATGTAGCCTTGTAGGCCTGTCATAGGCCTACATGGATGTATTGTTGATGTACGGGAAGAGTTCCATATACGGACGCCAGTAATTATTCCCTATACTAAAGTAACCCATTAGCCGTCAGAAGGCAAAAAATATGCCCAGAAAAGTTTGATTTAGGAGGGAAAAAAGCAAACAGGTTACTTTGAAAACACTTTTTTCAGACCAGTCCCATAGAGTTTGTGCACAGGGTGTCAAGTGGCATCCATATATGGAACTCTTTCCTTGATAAGCCTTATCGCTAATAAAAGTGCAAGAGTGATTTTGCACAATAGTAAAAAGGTACATGTATCATGCCTTTCCGCAGTTGCGCAAAATCAGTAACTATTAGCGATAAGGCATGTGCACTTGGTACTTGGAAGAAATCCTCCTGAAAAACTCTCCACTAGGGAGATTAACAAGGAGGGGTTCAGAACAGTGGAAACTAATTTGATTTAGGAGTTACTGAAATGTGTAGGTACATGAAATAGCGGCTCATAGTGGGTCCCTATTTGGTCATGTCTTTGAATCAGTAACGGTGCCTTCAGATTATCGCCCATTGCTAGAGTATGGTGGGGATATGTGAAATATGAACTATTGTTGACAACTGGCAATGTATTGCTGTACAAATCAATAGTACTTGTTTTTGTAAGATGTTTTGGAACCTGTTGGATCATCTGAATATTGTGCTCATGGATTTTATTGAGACTTTACCTGAAGATAGGATAGTATAAGAATGAAACCCTGTAATTTGTAAGCTTAAGCTACATTTGTGGAATTTTGTGTTGAAATTTACCGAATCGCACAAATTTTGTACGCTCAAAGTGATTGCCGCGACTGCACAGCGCAAATTATATGCCAAGCAATTCTTAGAGGAATTTTGTTGCCCGGTGTGCTTTTGATATAGGCAACATCAGTTGCAAATCTTATCCAAAACTACATTTTAAGTAACATTTGAAGTGTTATTATGCCCAATCTATACTTGTTTGTAGGCTTACAAAGAAAAGGCCAATTGCAAAGCAGATGAAGATGGATATTCCTGGCTTCCCTTTGTTGATGCTATAATTGGATGGATTCCTTGCTCAGTGGCACAAATTCTCTTTTTCTGTAATTTTTTTGGTCCTGCAAGTTATTTTTTGGGGGGTGAGTGGCATACTAGTGTAATTAACATTAATTAAATTGCAGTTAATTACTGAAAAATAACCAGTGGTCACACAGGTAATAACAATCATTTTGACAAGACATTTATTTTCATTGCTCACATAAGTTGATCTTTCATTGGTGGATGGTCCTGTTCTTGTAATAAGATGTATGATAATGATTAATAACTAACGATAATTAATTAGTGTCAAAATATTTTTTTTATTTTATTAATCAGTATTGAATAATATTTTCAAGTTTGTTTGATATTAAATCCCCAAGAAATTTCAACTTAATATTCCAGGTATTTAATAAGTTGTGAAATGATTGACTTCAATTTGGGTCAGTTTTCTGATATGATATGTAGGACACTTAGATGGGAATATTTAATTCCCCAAAATTTCATACCTTTGTTAATATACATCCGACTGAGCTGATTCTTGCATAATTATATTGCATTTGCAAAGCTCTTTCCAATGACAAGTAATTTATATTCATTACTCACACTTCATCTCACATACCGACAATGTAGTTGTTGTACCCTAACGTGGTGTGGCATCTCAGGTGGGGCACTTTGAATTTTTTTTTTTCACATTTGCCTTGCTGGAGTAATATTTTTACCTCAGATTTCATTTTGACATTTTTATCAAACTCCTAATATTCTGGTTCAAAAATCTTGATTTTACTCATCTGTCATGCCCACTGCGAATGCCAAGTTGTGATGAGATTTTAGTTTTGTTTAATATCCCATTTTTTTTCTGAAGTACAAAACGAACTCTCTTAAAATGTGCCAAAAATACAAAACATGATTTTTTAACAAACTTATGGTTAGGTATGTAAGTGGAGGTAGGCCTAATAATAATTTATAAGAATTTATCAAATCTAACCCTAACATGCCTAATCATCCCTCAATCCTTCAAAATTTTGGAAAATGGAGGCTGCATGGCAAATATGCATTGCTGATTGCAACATTTGCATTGTCTCAAGGCCGTGGGTTCGACCATATGTTTTTTATTTTCAGCCGTGCATTAATTTATGCCCACATTACATGTGAAATCCTCCATACTGCTCTAGGATACCATTCACACTGCCTCAACATAATGAGAGGAATTGCTGGAGGATTTTGAAGGATTGAGGCAGTGGGCACCCCTCCACAGAACATATTCAAGAAATATCAGAAGATTTTGAAGGATTGAGGGTGTATCCTAGCTGAAAGGGCCTATATGTAGGCAGTTTAATAAGGTTAAAGAATATCTAAATGTTTACGTGGGATGTTCTGAGGTTCTTTCAAGTGTGCCACATTGGGGAACACTCAGCTGAATTCTTGCCCAATTTCCAGACACCACCATTTTCATATTTTTGACAAAATTTCATGACTGGGAAATTCTACGCTAAGGTTCAACAGCATTTGTTATAAGGGTTATGGTACAGTATTTGAAGTTTTTCAACAAGAAGTTTGACAACAGTATGTGAGGAAATTGAGTGCAAGTTGAAATGCGCTGGTTGTTAGGAGTCTCACACACCGGGGAGTAGCAGGAAACACTTTTCATTGTGCCAAATAATCACATTTTACTTTTGAAATAATTAAATTAGTGAAAAAGCTAGAAATTGTACAGGTTCCTGTAATTGATGATGAAACAATATTGTTTTACACAAGTTAAAACTTAAAGGCCTTAGCCTTTTGGGGTTTGTAAAAGTTGTAAAATCCTTCATTGTTTTTGTGTTTATTTGGCCAGGTTTGGGGAAACAGTTTCGTATATCTATCGACTATTCCAGACCTCATGCACAACGTCTGTGGTCCATGACAGAAAAACTCCTAACTTAGTGTTTCTTCATCAAATTTACATATTTCTGGTAGTTTTCAAGTCCACCCATTTCCTCCAATTTTGCCAACAAAACATAACACATTTGTGGATATGGTAACTTGGCAGACATTATGGCAACCAGTTTTTCTTTTTCCCCAATAAAACAGCAATAATGATTGTTTGGATTGAGATTTTCAGAATGTTTTCAGCATACACAACCAAGGCAGTGTCATAAGAGCCCTGTATTCCCACCAAACTTATCCCACTGAATATCAGGAATATTAATGAATTCCCCAAACATCATTGCTTCTCCGGCAGATTGTCCGTCTTCAGTCACCCGAAGGCACCAAGAGAGTCAATGTTCCTGTGACAATGACGCTCTACAAATTTTTTCAAAAGGTATAATATTACATTTGCATTTACAATGACGTGAAGATGTAATGCTATTAAATTAATTATTTATTGTTAAATTCCATCATTTGCATGCATCACAATTGAGGTGTTCTTTATTGCTGATATTTAAGGAAAACCTACAAGATACAATCTTTGTCCATTTTCATGAAAAAAAAACACACAAAACAAAACTAACACCAACAATGTTTGTGGCATTGAAGCCAAAAATATTATTTCATATTCTAATTTTTTTAGATTTCAATCCAGTTGAATTTCAAAGCTGTTCAGTTCAAGCAGATGATATCTCACTATTCCTAATTCATCTTCAGCAGTCTATCTTCACAAATTGTTCCCCTTTTTTTAAATTCAAATACCTGGATTTGTAACTGTTCTTTCCACAGACATTCTCAGCAGCATTTCCTGGACTGTGCATTTGTCGCTATTTTTCTTAAATTTGTAGGTGTCTGAGGCAGTGGCGATTCCAGTTGACCAATTCAAATTATTTGCTGATCGAAACAGAATCAGGGAGTTGAAACCCACCAGCAAAGTCACCTTGAACTCTTCAAAAATCAAGTAAGTTCTGTCATTTCTGCAGAATCTCGATAATGCTGATTTAAAACTAGATAAAAAATGGGTCAAAATTGTAAAAACTTACCGAAAGTAGACATGAAATTCGCTCGAGTCTATTCCCAAATGGGATTCAGTTTGACTTCTGCCTCAACTAGACTTGGTTTGAATTCACAAGTTGTTTTTGATAATGTAATAGAACTCGTCGAATTACTCCCAGACTTGCGAGTCCCAAAGTAGCTGCATCCATATGTCAGTCTGAAGACTGGTGAAGTTTGCCAGATTCTAAGCTTAGATTTGACTTAGAGCTAGGGTTCTTGCGGTTCTAGGGTTCTTTGAGGCCAATTTGGACTTCTAATGTGATCTTTCACCCGGGTCTAGGCCCAAGGTTTACCTACTACCCCTGACCCCTACAGCTGACTGCAAAAGGTTCGTCTTGTTTCCTGTGTACAGGCATGGAGATATGCTATATGTGGCCAATCAAACAGCAAGCTATGATGGACAGGCTGACAAGGCAAGCACGTCGGCTGCCAGTATCGTTGAGGATGATGTGGACCAATTCCTCACCAAACTTGACGGAAAAATTTACAGAGAACGAGATGACCAACTGTGAGTTTCCCTGAATTAATTTCAAAAACACCGTTACCACGATTTCTACAGAGAATAGTGGTGTTAGCCTCTATTATGAGGCAACCATCTTGGGCCCTTTTCCAATACTCGTCTTCGGCTCCATCTCAGGCTTCAACTCTTTTTTCACTTCCTGACTTTGAGGTTGTAAGAGCAATAGTAAGTCTGATAGTGCCATAAAACAAGTAAGATGCAAAAGAGCCAAACATTACAGTACTTCAATTTAATTTAAATGCTTCAGACCCACAATCGGGGATTGGTTTCGGAGACGAAGCCTGAGACGGAGACGAAGTTGACTATTCACCACTCAAAGCAATGTTACCAAACTGACGCTGGAAAGAAAAAAAGTCTGTTCCCTTTTATCAACTTGTGAAGTTGTATTACTACTGCCAGTGGGTCTACAGGGAAAAAGACAAGCGTAGCAGCATCACTGATAAAGGTCTATACAGTTGCTTTCTTGTAGACCATAAGCCAACCATATAGGACTATTGTGCTGTGCCTTGATAGACGTGTACTTTTGAAAACTCTCATCTTCTTGAAACAAGCTTAAGTTATCTGTCACGTGAGTTGACCTTAAGACATTCTTGCTCATAGGCCATCTCATCATCTGACATAACGCATACAGGTTCATACTGCACAGGTCTAGCATGTATGTATCCTGCTAGCTTACTCCAGTAAAGCTGAGTGGTTGCTTTGTCATATCTCTACTTTCCTAGCAAGTAGATAGTCATTAGTTCATATTCCACCCAAGTTTGGGAAACCGTTTTCTTCTCAAAAGCTGCTGAACAATATTCAGCATATATACACAGTGCCTTACATCAATGAAAGGCAAACCTTACAATCAAAGGTCTATAAGAAGAGAATGCTTTTATTTCGTGATATTACCTAAGATTCAATGACAGTTAGATATTAATCACTTTATATCACTATTTATCAGCAAGAGTCACATTAATTTTTTTAACCACTTTTCAACAGATGTCATCACGGAGCCAATGCCAAGTGTGTCCACTGCGTACCCTTGGAGGTAAACAATCACATGATTAACACATGATTTGATTTTTGCATTGCAGAATGATTATTTTTTAACATTAACCCTAACTCTTGTCAAGTTAAATCCAGTGAACTAGCAGAATCAAAAAGAATCCAACAGCAGTGTTGTAGTTGAGTCCATTACAAATCACAAGTCCTTCCACAAGTCACCTCACAAGTCCCTTCACAAGTCCTTCCACAAGTCACCTCACAAGTCCCTTCACAAGTCCTTCCACAAGTCCCTTCACAAGTCCTTCCACAAGTCACCTCACAAGTCCCTTCACAAGTCCTTCCACAAGTCACCTCACAAGTCCCTTCACAAGTCCTTCCACAAGTCACCTCACAAGTCCAGTTACAAATCCTTCCACAAGTCCTTTGACAAGTCCAGTCATAAGTCCCTTCATAATTCCATTCATAAGTCCAGTCACAAGTCACCTCATAAGTCTGTTCACAAAATCCATTCATAAGTAACAGGTTGAACAATGACAAAGGAATGCTTTTGTCTCTGTTCATTTGAATAGATTGTGAATTGGCTGTTGATTGAATGACTTGTGATAAACCACGAGGACTTGTGTTAGACTCCACTACGGCATTGTTGTTAATATAAATCAAAACTTTCTGGAAACATCCTAAATTCTCCAATGAGCTGGAAACATGTAGTGCTTTTTCTGTGTTTTCCATATCTAGCTTCAGTAATCTGTGTATGCAGCATTATTGGCTAGACTCTGCCCTTGGCAAATCTACAAATCCCCCAAAACCTACTCATCATTTCAGAAAGATCCAGGAAACTTAGGGCCAATTGACAGGTTACCAAAACTTAGGTCAGCACACATACATGCACTGGTACTGCAGCTGTGAAGATTACGCACATGTTGAACAATAGTCATTGTTAGGAGATTTTCTTGTTTGTTTCCACAACTCGGTCCCAAATTTCCCAACAAAACAAATTTCCTCCCCCCCATGCAAGGAACCAGTGTTCCCTTAGTCCACTTAATTAAAGAATGAGGCTTTTTTATTCTTTTCTCTTGCAGCCCTATGATCAGAGGTATCTGCAAGAACATGATCCACCCATCAAGCATCTCTCTTTCCATTCCTATATTAGGAAACTCACAGGAGGAGTTGACAAGTGAGTTGCTAGGCTTCAGCAGTAACCTGTAAAATAACTGTGAAATGCTGTCAAGTTTAATTCATATTTACCGGGGTTCCCACAGCCTGGAAAAGTCGTGCAAAAGACATGGAAATTCAGTTTCATTTTCCAGGCCTGGAAAAGTAATTGAATTTGTAAACATGACTAAAGTCATAGATAAGTCAAGGAATTTTTAAACACTATGACAGTGTGTGTGATTTCTATCATCAGAAATAAGTGCATAAAATGTGTGATTTTATTCCCAACTTTAAATGTCCAAATAATCCAAGAAATAGCGTTATTGGGTCATGGATTTTCATAATTTGGTCATGGAAATTCATGGAATTTAATTGTCCTTTAGTTGCAGGATCCCTGATTTACATTCGTAAAACTTTTTACATGCACTCTTTTCCAGCCAATGGCTGTCTTCCATGCTTGGTTGATTTCTTACTTGCCCGTTTGTCTCTGTATACTTGTCATTTTGCCTTTTAGAAAGGTTCCACTAGGATCGAAACATCAGGCCAACTAACTTTTTGATTTGTTGGTTAGGTCACGGAAGCCAGCAAGCACATTTGAAACAGGTTTTGTATTTAATATTGACATTAATACATTACTTCCTTGTCAGAGTTCATCAAGGCAATAAGCTGCCTTTATGCACTGATTACTCTCGATTGTTTGAAACGTGTACCAAACTAGGCTGTATCCTTTAGGAATGTAGTCACAAATAGTGACGCTCACTACAGCATTCACTGATGAACGATGGAACCCCTGTCCTAGTGCAACCAAAATCACATCTGCTCACCAACTTGTTTATTTTTATCTCCAGAGGCAAGTTTGCCTTCCTTGATAACATCAGCCTGAAGATTAAGCCAGGTTGCACGGAGCACGCCCCCTGGCCGGGCGGCATATGCACTAAATGTCAGCCCAGTGCCATTACACTCAACAGACAGGTAGGTAGGGCTCCTTGGAGTTCATGGCACACCAAGCGGTGTGCATTACAGGTAGCTCAGCCACCGGGTACCTAATTGAGATAAACATGGACACCCATAACCTTGTCATTCAAAGACAGAAAAGAAAAGGCAAGCTTGAAGATGAATTCAAATTGTTAATAACCCAAAACAGTCATGACCAATCTTTGGACATAAAAATGAACTCCGTTTCTGTTTTCCATATGCCCTAGTTTTTATCCATAAGTTTAAAACTGGTCAATTTTTAACCTGATCTGAGTTTATGGAATGGTGGAAAAGAAAGATTTTTCAACAGCATTTGCCATCATCAAGTGATCCAGTTTCCATGTGCAGAAACTCAAGATTACTAATTAACCTCAGAGTTATAGCATTTTATTACATGCCCTTGTAAAACATTTGCTCCAAAATTTCACCCACATAATTTTCAAATTGCCTGTTTTCTTGAAATAAAGCAATTAAATTAAATATATTTAAGTTCCACTCATAGAATGAAATTAACCCTCATCTGTGATTAAGAGCATTGTATTTGTTATCTTTTGTTATTACTACAGACATATCGACATGTAGACAATTTGATGTTTGAGAATCCATATATGTTTGATCGATTCTTGGACTACTGGCGTAAGACGGGAAACCAACGTATGGGTTTCCTTTATGGCAAATATGAGCACCATAAAGATGTACCACTTGGAATCAAAGCAACAGTATCAGCAATTTACGAACCTCCGCAGGTGAGGAAAAGGAAAGCTTGGTTTGTAATCATTTTCAACACATTTGAATGGTATAGAAAATGATTTATTAAGATTTGTTCATGTGCTGCCACCAGTGGGATTATAGAATACTTACATATAATTCAATCATTTAAAGCAACAATTAGCAACACAACTTCTTCACCAAAACCACAAAACAATTCCTAAATACAATGAAACTGAAAAAGTATTAAGTAAGAAACCAATAGTCGGAAGCAAAAGAAATATTAAAAGATCACTCCTAGAAAAAAAGCACTCCCAAATTACCGTCTCCATTGGTGAACCGCTGCAGTGTGTGCGTGTACACAGGGCAAGTAAGTTATGAGCAAACCCCCACCAAAAGTGTTCCCTTGGTCCACGACCCAAACAGAAAGCCCAAGGTGAACAATGCCCCCCCAGTAACTTTACCCCAACCACACCCACAGCTGTCGAAAACGTGGACCGTAAGACGTGTATAAACATGCATTTGTCAGTGTAATTGGATCAAGAGGGGTTAATGTGTTAGCAGGCCAACCCACTTTGAAATGGGAGAACCAGTCTGCCAACAGCTAAACCACGCTTAACCTTGACAATTCTGACTTACTCCATCTTACTGAAGTTGACCAAGCTCAGCTCATTTCAGCCCATTCTAATCCAAGGGAATGATCAGTTTCTCCTCCATCTCAGGCGTTAGCTCTGTCATCATCGTCCACTTTTAGGCTGACCGTGTGCAAATGCAAAGACTTCATTGGTTGGGTTGCTATTTGCACGACATTTTGTAGTAATTGACTAACACTCAACTGGAACTTGCCTGGGTTGAATAGGGGATTTTCTTGTAGATTGAATAGGGAATTGACTTATCACATTGCTAACAACTTTAAAGTCGGGGGGGGGGTTAGAAATCAGGCAAAGCTAGAGACAGAGACAGAGTGGTGGAAAATCCCCCATTCAACTCAGGCAAATTCCAGCTGAGTGTTGTCTAATGAACCCTTCTTAGCCTAGCTGACCCTACTTTACAACAGCCCACTCAAGCTTAGCTCAACTCAACTCATCCCAGGCCATCCTAGTCTTGTCCAGTTCAACAAGCTTCCCTTTAGCCAACCCATCCTAGCCCCATCCTAGCCCCATCTAGACCTGCTTAATATCACATTTGACTACCAGAAACCAACTTTACCCAGTCTGGCTCAACTCAGCCCATTCGGCCTTGTTGATTCCAATCACTCAAACCCAACAAGTTTTCCATACAATTTGTTTTTCTTTTCATGATAACAGGCCCATTTTCGTTATTACTCATTTAGCGATCTACAGTGAACAGTTTAGAGCTGTTACCTGACTATAATGCTGAAGCTGTGGAGTTTGTTGCCAGCAAAATGGGACTCAGAAAGGTTAGTTTGTCTCTTAACTATTTGTCTGTATGTCTAAGCTTATGGATTACAAAAGAGATGCTTGACAGGTGCTCAGAACTCTCAACCCTTGATGGGTTTACTGGGAACCACTGCCTATTCACTTGGAAATACTGTATGCCCAATACGGGGCTGTTCAAGTGGAAGAAAGCCCAATGTGGGAATATTGCCTGTTCACTTGGAAATATTGCATACCCAGTGTGGGAATATTGCCTGTTCACTTAGAAATATTGCATGCCCAATGTGGGCCTTCTCACTTGGACACATGCCCAATGTGGGAATATTACCTGTTCACTTGGAAATATTGCATACCCAATGTGGGAATATTGCCTGCTCACTTGGAAATATTGCATGTCCAATGTGGGAATATTGCCTGCTCACTTGGAAATATTGCATACTCAATGCAGGAATATTGCCTGCTCACTTGGAAATATTGCATGCCCAATGTGGGCCTTCTCACTTGAACACATGCCCACTGTGGGAATATTACCTGTGGGAATATTGCCTGTTCACTTGGAAATATTGCATTCCCTTTATGGGAATTACATGCTGTTTCTGCAGAGAATAGAATTTTCTTCAACATAGTTCACAACTATCTCATGAAAAGCCCAGTAGTGTGTTATCAAGTGTATCAGCAACCCCTCATAAGTCAAACATACAGGTGTATTGATTGGCAGACGAACCTACAACTTTTTTGTCTTCTGCTTTTGTCTTCTGTGTTACATGTGAAATATTAATTTATTTCCCAAACACAGTCTACTGGCTGGTTGTCATCTTACATTGCTCTATGCTCCGTTCAGATGTGGGTCTGTCAACACTAATGGATACATTTGCACATAACCAAAATCATCTCTTTCTTCAACAGGGTTGAGAGTCAAGAAATGAACTTTAACAATTTTACTGATGTAGATTTAGTTTACACAGTTTAATAGGATTTGGTTGTTCATTGTTAAACTAATCAGGATCTTGATGAAAATGTCCAGCTTACATGTATATTAGGGGTTCTGGTGGGACATGCACACAACTGTGTCAGCTCATGTTTTTCAGGTAATCTGAAATACCACTCTTACAGAGAAAAGCAATTTATCTGTAAAAACATGGGTACTACAGGTATAACATTTGAGAAATGTGTCAAAATCCATGACTTTTTATTTAAGTTCTTAAACCGGAATTTAAGGATGCATGTAGCTTAAGAAATAACGTACATCACGATGTCAGTCCACAAAGTGACAAACATGAAACAGGCTGATTGTGCCATTCGTTGAGCAGATAACCTGAGCAAAAACATACACATGTATCTTCCTGAGAAAAGTTTTTACTGTAATAGTTTACATCATACATGTATTTGTGTTTATTTTTTTCTATCAGATGGCAAAACTAAAATTTGATCTTAGGAATTGCGAATGTCTGTCCACTATTTTGTAACGTTTGTCACAACCATATTTTCCCTCCAAATGTAAAAATCTTACAAGACTTATGTTATGAGTACATATACATTCATAACAAAACCAAATTAAATAAAATAATAAACAATTCATTAAAAAAAAAATCGGTTCATTTTGCTGAAATGAAAATGAGAAGACCGTCTGTCCCCAGGCTACGATATGTGACAAACGTTATGTCTGTCCATGTGACAAACGTTACTCGTTTAGAAAAACTTACATAGTGTTCATTTTTACTGAAGTTTAATAATTAGTCTTATTAACAAAAGTGATTTTGAAAACTGAAACAAGTCTGGTTTGTAAACAGTTCTGTTGTCATGCTCTAATTCAAACACCAGAAAACTGTCTGTTCATTTAACATACGTTATCCATGTGACAGACGTGATGTCTGTCTAGTGACAAACGTTACATATTTTTCTTGAAATAAATTTCAGTGTTATCTACACTGGAATTGTTTTTAAGAGATAATGAAAGTTTCTAAAAGTAAACTAACAAGAGTATTTAATACATTGCAGGTAATTTTCAATTATGTTTTGAATTTAATTTTCACATTTAAGGAACAAAGTGTTTGTCCATGTGACAAACGTTATACCTTCAAGAATTAACTTCTGTAATTTCTTAGATACTGCTCAATTTATCTTTACATTTCTGTGGCAACAATCAGAAACAGTGAAGGCATACAACTTGTAAGTAAGCAAAAAAATAATGGCAAAATTTTACAGTTGGAAAGTTGTATTGAATGTCACGCAAATGTACCTGTTAGTGTGGACAGACCCCTATACTGAAAGCACTGTTTAGCCTCAATTTTGCCATTGACACCAGCTTCAGCTTCAGTCTTCATTTGTAGGAATTTAGTCCCCTGTATTCAAACTTGAGAGCGTAGTACTGCTTCCACTCTGCTACAGAAACATTCGATCATTTTAGTATTAGCCACACATTTGCTTCCAATACATGTTGTAAACATACGAAAACAAACTGCAAAGTTGAGATTTGGAAAAGGGCCATGCAGAAGTTAATAGCTATACATGTAGGTGGCAAGTGTCTGAGCCTTGCATGTGTATTGTGGGGCGTGTAAACATGGACCACCAATCTGGATTTGAGCACCCATGTGCAAAAGTGCACTGCACAGTACAGGGGATCCTGTATTGGAAAAAGTTGGGGGCGGAGTTTTGGGGTAGGCGGAATGGACATCATGTGACATATGTTGGTGTTTTTTTACCACAGTAGCTCTAACGCACATGGTTACTGTTGACTTTTTTGTTAGAATCTGAAAAGCATAACTTGGCTGCCTTTATTCTGTTTCTGTTTTATTATTTTTATTGTCCTTCATGTTGACATATTGTAAGACTTGCTGTTAGGCCATTTGATAACTTGTAAACAAACCAGAATGGTATTGCATGGTATCAATAGCAGTGCAAACTTGTTGATGGCTGAACACCAGGTGGTAAACCCATTTTTGAGCAGCTAATTCTTAGAAACACAGGGTAATTCCTTATTGGTGTGCTTGGACCATGGACCATCACTGGCAGGTCAACTGTTATTTGGCTAGTAACTTGGACAATCCTGTCCGAAATCCCTTAGGCTGAAGGGCAAAGGGTGGAATGCATGGGCCAGGTCCAAGTTGTGATGTGGAACGCGTTTAATTTATAGAAACAGCTGTTGGTATCTGACAGCTTGTAAACAACTAGAGTTTGTGCCACTTTGAGGCTGTGCTGTTGAAGTCATGTGTTGAGCTTCTGAAGTGCATGTTGGATGAACGGGTAATCTGCTTGGCACCGATTCAAAGAAAATCTGACAGCTCATAAAATTTATCTCTTGTATTGAAGCGTGCTGCATTCAGCAGTGGTAAGGTTGGGCCCATCCTCCATGTTGTTAAGAGATCCTGCTAAACCATTGAAAGCCATACTGTATTCTTTGTGCTTGTTCTAAACAAAATTTTAGTGCTGAACCCTAAATTGAAATATCAAATTAAGCATAAAACTGAAATCAAAACTGTGAAGAGATTTTGGTTAGCTGATGTTTGCAAAAGCCTGTAACAGTTCTGTCCTATAGAGGCTTTCTGTAGTAGCCATCTTTTATACAGGACAGTTCTTTTGTTAAAAAGGGTATGCGCAAAGAAGGTTTCCCTGTGGAACAAAAGAACTGCCATTCAAGATGGCTACCATGCAAAACCTTGTATTCACCATGCACAAGTACCCCCGCACTGATGATTACATACATGTATATTGCAATGTTATTGGTTGTATTCTACACCACTGAGACTTGTGAGAACAAGGCTGTGAACAATATGTGATCGAAGGGAAGATAAGTACGTGCTTAAAATGCTCCTTGATTTCTTGGTTCACGTGTGGAACTTACACATTTATGAAGTTACTTCATGTGATCGCACATGCTGAAAGACAGTTGCAAAAGTTTGTTCCCTAGGCCTCAGAAACAGTTAAGAAATCATATCTTGGAAACAGGCCACTTCATACCTCACAATGAGACTTTGTTTATCAGTTTGGCCGTTGCGCAACTAGTTCTTTTGTTTTTTTCTGTAGCCAAATCAACTTGCCTGAACTTGGGAACTGGGTCCCTGAGCGTTATCATGTTTGTTACAACACAGGCACCCAAAAAGTTGTTGATTGGGCATTGTGGGCTGATCTGCTGACTTTTGACCCTTCATCACGCCACATGATATGGAGTGCCATATCAGCCTGTTTTTTTCTGGCAAGCACTCCTTTTTCATTTGATGAACATGTGGCCCACTTTTTCAATGTTATCCCATTCCTGGCATATGTTCCTTTAAATTCATAATTGTCAGTTTGGGATATTTATTTGAGTTGAGAGTTAAGTTAGAAATATACATGTAAGTCCTTAGTATCATCATTGAATTCATCATAAAGAATAAAGCAGTTGATGGCATGGGTTGCTAGCGCACAAAACATTCACCTCTGTGGTCCTGGGTTCGATTCCTGGCCAGGGCCATATTTGAGTAGAGTTGTTCTTCTTTCTAGTGCCACATTGGTTTTCCTTTGGGCTGTCCAGTTTTCCTCCCTCCACAAAAATCAACCCTTACAGTTTTTTACTGCAATGTCACGGTGTCCCTTTAACAGTTGTTTGTGGCTGCCTGTTGTGCCATTGTATGCCCTCAGCTCGACCACATTGTACAGCCTGGGTAGTTGAAGTGCATTTGAACATAATTGTATGAAATTTTGCGCTTTGTGATTGAATAAATTATTCCCTTATTAACAGACCATTCGTGTCACCTGCTATTGAGTTAACCCAGAAATTGCAGTATTTAGATTCAAGGCAAAATTTTACACCAGCCAACAAGGCAAGTTTTTCACTCTCTGTGCTTTTCCAATATTTCCTGAAATGCTGTGTACATGTAAGCTTATTAGAACCTATTAAGCCAAAAGAGACATTTTTGAAAGACAGCATTGCAGTGTAAGTAGTAAACTGAGTGAAATTTGAGTCCTGTTTCAATAGATTATGTCCTGGAGGTTGACTTGGCCCAAGTACTGTCTCAACCCAACAAAACGAATGAAATATTCCATCTTTCAATTGCCCGCTCACCATTCAGGTTGGTTTCATTTTTTTCAAGTGTTTCCTTCAATACCTCTCACACCTTAGGATGATTTTGTTTCAATACCAAAAGCTTCCACAAACTGTGTTATTTTCTCAAGAGAATACTTGTGTAAAGCAATGACCCTTTTCACACTTCCTAGCTATCAACCAGCATGAGGTTAGTCCTTGGTTCTCTGGAGAGAATCCTGCTTTTCCTGACAAGGCCAAAGCAAACTGTCAGCAGCTGAGGACCAGAAAATTCATTGAGATTAACAGTGTTGTTGACTGAGCGAAAACCTGGAAATTCGCCAAGCAATGAAGTGACATTGGTCAAACCACAAATCAGCTGATCTGTACTGTTACCAAGATTCGGATCTAGCTGTGGATCTGGCCGTCCAGCAGAAATCAACACTCCATAATTTTATATATTCCACAATAACCTCAGAACCAGCTCCTATTGAATTTGAATAATGTGACTTTCAGCAAAATTTTATAGGGAAATGAAAAGATGCACTGGGGTTTTCCCTCTGTTGATAATTTGGGGTTTAGTTTTTGAATTCATAAGAAAAAATGACAAGCCTGCTTGGGCAGGACGAGTCTCCTGCCTGGTTCCCGGCCTTATGTGCAACGACACTGTACGTAAGTTGTGCACAAATACACACCAATGGAGGGCATTTGCACAGAAAATCCTGGTCCCCAAAACAGTCTAGTCCATTTGTTCAACTACCTGGGAGAACCTTGCGGAAACTTGATTCTACTCACATGCTGCCAAGTCTGAACAGATTGGTTAAAACACACATAGCGTGATAGCACTGCATGCGTAACACATTTTTCCGTAGTTTTAGGAACACATGTTAATTTCACCTATTAGGCAAGGACCAAAGAAAAATGTCTTCACAACTTGGTCCAAATTTGCCTTGCAAAATGACTTGTACCATAATGCATTGAAGGCACAAAAACTCCTAAGCACCGTTACGTATGCACAACACATGCCCGTGTAGTAGCATGCATATCAATGTCCAATTTATTAACCTTTGACCCTTTGCATTCACCAGAGCACTTGTTCTGGACATTAGGTTTAAGTTGGCTTAACTTGGGCCACTTGTGCACCACTTATGGAAATGGAAGTGGATAGAAAGTGAACAAATAATGTCCAGAATCCAGAATAGGACTCAAACCCTTGGCCTCCTGGTTTACCAGTTAAGATGTCTTAACCACTGGACTGCTGGGAAAATGTTGTCGAGAAAAATTATATGAGTATAACTAGGAGAAGAAAAATGTTAAAAACCATTCAGCCATATTGAATTAAAACTTAAGGTTAAATTCTTTATATCGGGAACCCAAGAATAAAAATGGAATAAATGCATAAAATTGCATCACAAATTAAGGTCAGTGATGCTGGTGAATGACATAAATTTGTGATGAATTATATCAACCTTTTTTACACTACATAACAAAAAATGGAAGTCATACATGGAACCCAAAATAGTCTGGTACCACCTCATTTAACAGATTGCAGTGAATAAGATTCTGGGAACCCGATCAAAAATGGCTTCTTTGCAAATAGGGTTTATTGCATCATTATGTGTGTCTCTGGATAAAAAATAGTTGGCAAGCAGCTGTTGATTTCCATACAATGGAATGGACACTGGTGAAGTACTGTTTAGTTAATGGTTTCCAAGTTGCTGGCTTGACCTACATATCTTAGCAATCACACAAGTGGCCATAAGTACTTATCCTCTTATCCTCTAACAACCTTGGATGGATACTTTGGGGTTTTTGATTGTAATTTGTGAGTTCTATACTTCCTGCACATATCAGGAAATTTTTATTTCGTAAATCATTATCAATTTGCAGCTTGGGAAAAGTTGGTGTATTGCCTGAGCTTTTATCACATCATACATGTAGATGTTATTTCTGTGGTTTGGGGATAGAGTAACATTAAAAAAAGTAATCTTGCAACATTATAAATCATGACCAAAGACAAATAAAAATACAAACCAGAATTCACCATATGTGGCCAGTACTGATAAAAAGAGTTCCCCCAATCAGAAATGGTGTACAGGCAAATGCTGTTGAGAATACCGTAAAAGCACTTTAGACTCAAAACTCTGAAGAGTGGGTTTTTTAGGGTGCAGAGAAACGAAACACAAGAGTGCAGGATTTGTTTTCAAAGGACGAGGCTGTTAAGGGTTGTGCACCTGCCTGTTTGGGAAAAAATACTGCTAAGGTCATTTGGCCCATCCCTGGCTAGCTTAAACAACACAAGGTTAGATAACTTATGGGTCAAGGTTTGCATTAGAATTGACACAAAATGGGGGAAAACTTGTAAACAGTTCAAGGGTCAACCTTTAGGCCCACTTTGAATTGTTGATTTTGGTCAAATAGGTCAGAGCCCTTGAAAAGGGCAAACTCCTCTGGGGAAAACAAGACACTTATAAAAGCAAGTAAGACCTTGATAAATGTAGCTTCAAGTGCAACTTGCTCATGTGCATGCCCTGGCTTGGAATGCATTTAGGGTAGCCAAATTTTGACTTGTGGGGACCCTGTCTTGTCCTTCTGGTGCTTTTAGCATTGTAGTCCATGGTATGAAGGCTTCCACTTGAACACTTAACTTTATCAAAGTGCTCAGCTTGCAATGACACTAGTTAAACTGTATTTTACCTTTGAAACTCATTAACCCTAGCAGTTCTGGTCTTGCATAGCATGAATGTATTGTTACACCCTGCGGTGGGAGGTTAGTGTGATAGTAAGGCCCCTTCTATTGTGATTGTGTAATCTAAAGATTTTGAAGATTTTTCTCTTCAATCATAGGTAGAGTTTGGAACAGTTTTGAAAAGTTTTATAGGGGTTAAATTACAGGCTTTAGGAAGAAGGGATAAACATGGTAAAGATTCAAGAGAGGAGAAAAGTTCCATTTGAAATAAAAATCATCCTTTATATAAATATTTTCGAAAAGTTGTGAAATAGGTTCAATATTTTTGTTTTCTGTGATGGCAGTCAGGCCATAAAGCTTAACCCAGGCTCTCTATTTTGGGTTTGTTAAAATTTGGTTCACCACAAACTACCCCACACTCTGGATCCCCTCCTTCCTTGGATTCAAATTCAAATTTCTGACAAAAATCAGAAATTGAAATATGCAGAGTACACTTTTGCAAACTTGTTCCTCATATCTAAGGACTTTTTACATTTTTACAGGCCAGGAAGGATGGTTAATGGTTCCATCCTAAATCTCCTTTTAAAGAAAACATTTTGAAATATGAACCAGTTTTTTATTAGTGCGTGGGTAAGAAGGTTTCTAAACTAGAAGTTCAGGGTTAATGCATGGAAAACCTTTGTGCTGTTATGATTATGAGGAGTAGCAGAGGAGGAGGGGCTTATCATGAGAGGGGGCGGGGAGCAGGCCTAATCACGTCTGGTGGAAACTTTTGCACCCTTAGGGTTCTGTCCTTTAATGTAATGAGTTCTAGACTTGCGACATAATTGTACATGTACCTTCCAGAAAATCAAGTCTTATCTTTGCTGCATATAAGCAATATATAACTTTGGACATTTGAACCTTGTGGGTTGGTAAAGTTCCAAGTTTTACAGTAAACAGGTTGATAAATATTGCTTCTATCTTATCAGTTTTTAAGCAACCTTTGTGGCCCTTGAAATGTTGGACAATTTTTATTTGTGTCGGTTTTCAAATGGTTAAATGCAACTTCTTATTTGAATAATTTAATAAAAGTTTACTTAGTTAATTTTTGGCCCTTATTACCATAGTTAATTAGATTCATTAAGAAAAATTCAGGTTGTGTATTCCAACCAGTTATCTTTTAAGAATAGCCCACAAAATGGGGACAATTATTGTTGTTTATATCAGGATCATGTATTTGACTTTTTCTGTTGTAGGTTGGCTGGATTTTTACGGATTTAGTTGCAGATGACCTAACTAAAGGAACAGTTAAACATGTCCGCAATATGGTGAGCAATGTACACTTTTACTGTCCCATAAGTAAAATCCAAAGTACTAATAATATTGTTTATTTGACAACGGTATTTGCTGGACACATTGTTATTGTCTTGATATCTGTCTTGGTTAATTTCATCTCAATCCATTTTTCATCGCCATGTTTATTGCTATTCTGCACTGTTACCTTGGCAGATATCTTTATTTCTTCCAAAGGAAAACTTAATTCAATAACAGTGTGACAAAATTAAAAGAAAGAATAACTGTTGGAATTTTTTCAGTGGTAAAGTGGGAGTATTTGAGTTTTTTTGAGAGAGATCAATTGTAGCAGTGACTTATCTTTGTGCAGGATGCGCATTTCTTGAGTGCGGAGGAATGTATCATGGCCGGGGAATATCAGAATCAACATCCCAATCCATGCCGACTGGCTGCTGAGGGGACGTTTGGATCCAAGTTTGTCACATGTATCGTCACAGGTTAGTTTTCTCACCCCAACCATATTTAATCGTTCAAATCCATCAGAAGGTTGACAAGATCTTGTAGCCCAAGGCCGTTTTCCAATGCTCAACTTCGGCTCCGTCTAAGGCATCAACTGTTTTATTTACTAGCTGACTTTGAAGCTGTAAGCGCAGTAATTAGTCTAATAGTGTCACAAAACATCAAATAAGATCCAAGAGATTCAGAAATTACAGTTATCCAATTTAATTTAAATGCTTCAGGCCCACAATCATGGATTGGTTTTGGGAATGAAGCCTGAGACGGAGCCCAAGTCGAGTATTGGAAAAGGGCCCAAGTGTTGTTTTACACCAGACTTGATGCCCTTCTTAGATTATGGACAAAGTTTAGACATTGGGTTTCAACACAATTATAAATTATAAAGGACTGATCCTGGATGTTTCCTAAGGATTCATCATATTTTTTTGGTCAAAAAAGAGATGTCAAACATTTTGCCTACTGCTATGTGGCAGTTTATGACTGTTTCCTCTTCCTATGCCCATTGTGACCCTCAAATAGCAAAGATTTACATCGTCTTTAACCATAATTGATACTTCCATGCTTTCCATCACATTGGTAACCCTAACCTCAAAGTTTTAATCATATATACATGTACATGTAATCTTGTTTGATTCGATCTTAATAATAAATAGTGCGTGCTGATTTAGACCAGTTGATGATTTCACTTTTGACAGTATAAGTTGCCATGCCCCCACCCATTCACTTTGCATGTAACAAATACATGTAGGTGTTTAAATGG